GGGTGGAGAGTTGCAAGAGCAGGAACATGTTACATGTTGCACCCTAAAAGTGGGTAGAACGTGTAACATGTTCCGAAAGGTGAATTTATCCTTTAATCACGTCAAGCGCAGGAATATTTAAAAACGGCCTAAGGATGTGAAGAGGTTAAAAGGCAAAACTGGGCTATATAGAAACCCGTACAGGAAGAATCAAGGTGGTTCCAAACTGCCCGCTGCAGTGTGGCTGCAGCAGGAGTGCAGCACAGTGTGGTCTTCACGCGGGTTATCCACGCTTTCCCATATACTTTTATTGGATCTGGCGTTTTTGGTGCGTTTTCTGAAAGCGCAGGAAGGATGCAGCATTCAGGACATTTGGTGCGCTTTCAGAAAACGCAGCAAAAATGCCTCATCTAATAGAAGTCTATATGAAAGCACAGGTAACACACACAAAAAACATGGGCACACTGCGCTGCTTTCAAAGCCACCCTTACGTAGGCTGCAATCAGTGATCACATGCAGAGTAGTAAGCAAGATGTCACTTCTGACATCATTGCTTACTATGTGTGAAATCTGTGAATGATCACAGAGGTCACATGGTACAAGGCTATTCACAACAGCCTTGTACCATGTGACAAGCTGTGACCAATCACAGCTCACATAGTAGTTCTCTCAATGGCTGCAAGAATGCAGCCATAGAGAAGGACAAATGATTGCTTTTACATCCTTTATGGGTGTAAAAGAAATCGGTGTAAAAAAAAAAAAAAAAAAAAAGAATAAAATCTTCATCACCCCCAAGTACCATGGTGACACTGTACTGCTAGGGTGATAGTATGTAAAAAAAATAAAAAATATAAAAAAGAAAATGTTTAAAAATTATAATTTTTGGTTATAAACTAATTTTGGTTATTTTTTTTTTTTACTAAAAATATAACAGAATAAATTTTGGCCAAGATTTGTGATGAAATACTATTTATTTGCAAAATTTTATAAGAAAAACAATTTTTTTAAAAAAAAAATTTTTGGACTTTTTAATTCACATAGCAAAAGAAATAAAAATCCCAGGGGTGAATAAATACCTCCAAAATAAAGCTTTATCTGTCTCAAAAAAATGCTAAAAAATTCATATGGGTACAGTGTTGCATGACCGTGCAATTGTCATTCAAAGTGTGATAGCACTGAAAGCTGAAAATTGGCCTGGACTGGAAGGGGGTAAAAGTGTCCGGTCTGGAAGTGGTTAAAACTGAATAGCTTCAATACACTGTAAATCACTGACCTGAAACAAGTATGCAGTTTAGGTGTTTAGCTTCAGTCTGGCTTTCCTGAACTGCCTGCTTGTTTCCGGACAGCAAGATTATTATTATACAGTATTTATAAAGCGCCAATGGTTCGCTCAGCGCTGTACATTACAAAGGGGGACAGAACATGTGACAGAACAATACCAATACAATGCAAAACATGAGGGGATCGAGGGCCCTGCTCTTTCAAGCTTACAATCTAGGCTAGAAAGATCATACAGAAGCCAGTGATAGCCAAACAATTAGCATTTTCCGCAACAACCACCCCATACTTTTCTCGGTATGGTGCCATTTTGCCATTTCATTAGCCCCAACTCACCACAAGCAGAAACAGACCTCCGTTCCAGAAAACAGACCTCCTCGGTGTTATATCTGACTGATGAAGACATGACATCACTGGGCTCCAATGATCTGCCTTCACTAAACCTTATTTATATGACTTTCTTTTACAGGAATTTATTTATACAATGTCCTGGGAGGAATCGCTGGATAGAACTTAGCAACGTTTATACTTTACACAATACTTCACACTTGGTATTATAAGTCACATTTGGTTTTCATGACCCACCGACCTGTGATTCTATAAAGTCATGGCTTTCCTAAGGACCTGTAACATCATTACAAAAACAATGATATGATGCAAAGGTCAGCACTTCCCCACAGTGCACATCTCCATCCATACTCTCCAGACGCTGAAATTCACCATTCCTGACATAAGAGTTGAACTCCAAACACACGGCTGAAATTCAAATATCTACCAAAGGATTTAAAATTTTCTCCAGCTTGTCCTGACAGTTCTGCAGGGACAGGTTAGTCACCTTGTATTTTTATACTGCGGTTCAGCAACACAGCCTGGTCTTCCTTCAACTTCCCTGCAACTGGACTGTGAAGGAAGAGCAGCAAACAGATGAGGTCAACATTCTGCTCTCTGTCTGTCACCATATCTGCACATGTGAAAGCAGTGGATTGGCTGCAGGGGCCTGCAAACTAAGGCCCATGGGCTACATCTGGGCTGCTCTAAGATTTTATCCAGCCCATAGCTAGAGTCAGTGGCATATCTTCAGACTAAGGATTCAGATCAATTGATCTCCCCGTCTGATGGAGAATGAATGATCACAGAGGTCACATGGTACAAGGTTATTAACAACAGCCTTGTACCATGTGACAAGCTGTGACCAATCACAGCTCTCACAGTATTTCTCAATGGCTGCAAGAATGCAGTCAGAGAGAAGGAGAAATTATTGCTTTTACAGCCTTTATGGGTGTAAAAGCAATCAGTGTAAAAAACAAAACAAAAAAAAAAATCTTCATCACCCCCCACAATTAGTACAGTGTCACTAGGGTGACAGTATGTTAAAAATAAAACAAATATAAAAAATAAAATAAAAATTTTAAAAAACATTTTTGAAAAATTATAATTTTTAGTTATAAACTAAAGGTTATTTTTTGTTTACTAAAAAGATAACTGAATAAATTTTGGCCAAGATTTATGAAGAAAGATTTGCAAAATTTTATAGGAAAAACACTTTTTTTTCAAAATGTTTGGAATTTTTTATTTATATAGCAAAAAAAAATAATAAAAAATCCCAGCGGTGAATAAATACCACCAAAATAAAGTTTTATCTATCTCAAAACAATGCTAAAAAATTCATATGGTTACAGTGTTGCATGACCGCGCAATTGTCATTCAAAGTGTGATAGCATTGAAATCTGAAAATTGGCCTGGACAGGAAGGGGGTGAAAGTATCCGGACTTGAAGTGGTTAAAAGAGGTGGTTTCAGGCAAGGCTCAGCTGGATTCCAGCATGGTGTTACTATGTGTGATTGTGAACTGTGTCCCGAGCACAGAGCTCTCAAAGATCATTAAGCGCTCATGAAACAAGGAAAGAAAGGATCACCATGGTATGACTGGCAGAAGCTTGGGCCAGGCACAATGTTTGCTGACCAGCGGGGTAAAGGGAACAACCTTAATCAGACACTGTACACGGCAACCATGGATACCATGAATACACCCAAACAGTGGACCTTAACCCAAAATGAGGATTTGCTATGTTAGATGAAATGTTCAAAAAAGTTAATTGTGCATAAGCAATACTCTTAAAATTCAACATTTTGCCTTGAATTCCTTCTGTGAAATAGCAGCAGCAGATACTTCTGTACCTTGAGCCTCATTGCTGTATATATGCAGTGAGAGATCATCAAAAGGCACTGAGATTTGGGGAAGGATCTGGTGATGTCGCTGTTTGTGCTGCTCACCTCTCTCTTTGCTGGAAAAGAAGCTGTACCTGAGGACCTGCAGTACAAGAATCTCCCTGCTCCTTCATCCTTTATCCTGTGAATCCTCCGCTGCCCCTGTGCTTCCCTGCTGCTTGTTGAATATTCCACCACCAGTCATCAGATCCCCTAATCATCAGGAGGGCAGCTCTGACATCAGGAAGCAAAACTTCTGCTACCATGACTGAGTCTCACAGAGACACGGAGGGAGATTTACTAAAACTGGAACATACAGAATCTGGTGCAGTTGTGCATAGTAACCAATCAATGTCTAGGTTTTATTTTCAAAGCTTAATTCAAAAAGCTGAAGTCAGAAGCTGATTGATTGCTATGCAGAGCTGCACCAGAATTTGTGTGCTGCCGTTTTAGAAAATCTCCCCCCATACAGTGGAACAAAAAATATTAAATCAATAAATGGGAAAATAAGATCAGCTGCAGGGATATCACAGGTAATACAAGGGAATATTCCTCTGTCTTTTTTGGTACAGCTTTCACAGTTCAGGTCCTCTATAATGGGAAAGTTCACCCTTTCACAAAAAATGTAATATCTCCTAACTCCAAATATCCTGGCCATCCCTCCAGACTGGATACACATGCTGCTGGTGTAGTGGTCTGTGCACCATACACCACAATACACAGCCCCAGAGTGACCTCCTGCTCTCTAGCTCCCTTGTCTCCTTCTCCCATGCTCGTCTCCAGGACTTCTCCAGAGCTTACCCCATCCTCTGGAACTCTCTACCCCAATTTATCAGACTATCGCCTACTCTGCTCACTTTTAGGCAATCTCTGAAATCCTCTCTCTTCAGGGAAGCCTATCCTGCCCTCAGCTAATAATGGAATCTTCCACTCCTCTTACCAGTCCATCCCCCACAATTACTACCTTTTGTACCACTAGCCCCTCCTTCTTAGATTGTAAGCTCCCAGGATCAGGGCCCTCCTAACCTTCTTGTATTGAACTGTATTGTTGCTGTATTGTCTCCCGTTATATTGTAAAGCGCTGAGCAAACTGTTGGCGCTATATAAATCCTGTATAATAATAATCTATCATAATGATCACAATGGCAAGCATTCATTGGTCAGCGTGACCATGTTGACCAGTGAGAAGCACTTCCATCTTCTGGAACACCCTACCTAAAGAAGTCTCAGATGCACTTCTCATTGGTCATCCCAGTCACGAGGCTGTGATGACCAATGAACTCTTGGCCATTATGATACTACAGGGATGTGTACTGTGGTGTACAGAACTCTACACCGGAAGTACTGAGCATCATGATCGCTATGTGCAGCGGCGTCCAGTGGAGTGGCCAGAATGTTTGGAGTTCGTTCACCTTTCAATTTTCCATGAGAAGGTGAACTTATCATTTAAGGATCTTATAGGAAACCTGTCTGCTTAAATGCATTTCTGCTCCTCTTTTGCACTACTGCACCGGTACATTCTCCCGACATATCTTACCTCTTTTGTCCTCACTTTCTGGGGAAACATTTGAGGTTCTCTTCTGTATCTCCTCCCACCAGGTTTTGTAGTTCAGCAACTGTTTAACAGTATCGTCTTCAAAGAGGTCAGCTCTGCAAGAAACAACAACGTCCTTTCAACCGTGTACAGTCAGCAAAACGCTTAACAAAAAAAAAAAAATCAGAAGCAGCCTTGAATGAACTCTGACGTAAAGAAAAACCAGAACACCGCTTTAAAACACCAAATTAAAAAGGAAAGTTTTTTGTTTTCCACTCTTTACGCACAGATGTTTTATGGCAATTTAACCAGTTGCGCTCCAAAGCCATTCAAGCTACATGTATTTTCCAGATAATGGCTTTGTTAGTATTTAAGATACAGAAGTGGCGCCATTATATTTTTTTCTGGGGGGGGGGGGGGCTGCAAATAGGGCTTTCTTTTAGGTGGTATTTCTTTAAAAATAGTTATTCGTTTTCTAAATTTAACCCCTTGCAGCTGTACCTTTAAATAGCATCTGACGCTGGAGGCTAGTGAGTGGAGCTTGCGATCAAGCATGCACTGTGATTGGCATGCACTGATGATGTAATTGGGAGCCTTGCCTATCAGCTGTCAATTGTGGGTACTTGATCTGTGTACAGAATGCCTCCAGGTTGCCATATTGCATTGCATTTTTGCAGAACATTACAGCACTGCAGATTGAAATGTAACAATTTTTAATCACCTTCAAATTACAATACGACTGTTGTTGGAATTGAACATGCTGTATTATTTTTTCTTTTATTTGCATATATATTATTTCCCCACAAAAGTTGAGTTACTCTTTATGGCCCACCTCTGTGCTGATCCATATATGTGTGATGCTGGTGAGAAGTTAAAAAAAAAACAAAAAAGGTAAATAGAGAAAAAAATATTTTTTTCTATTTTTTTTTACTATAGTGTATTTAAAAACTAGCATACTGCAGAGAAGGACCTTTGTTCTGTGTGTGTAAGCAGTGGCCTCTCTGCATAGGTCCAACATGCTCCTTTACTGAGTCAGAGTCAAAGCTTAAGTTCTCCAATCAGCAGGTAGCAAAAGGTTTGCCGATTGGTTAGCTCTAGCCCTGGAACAGCAGGGGGTGTTTCGGACCTCTGCAGAAAGGCAACTGCTTCCACGCAAAGTTATGGAGCTTGGGTGGGGAGCGGTGGGGTTGATCTGCAGTCCTGTCCTAGGATGAAAGCGCAACTCCCCCAGTAAAGCAAATGAGCGTTGTCACCTGGAAACATTACCCTGTGTAAGCCACCACCAGGGTCAGACTGACCATTCAGGTACTTGGGCACTGCCCGAGAGCCCAGGGTCAGTAGGGGGCCCAATGAGATGCCCCTAGTACCTTTCATAGGGTTTTTGGGTGTGGTTTGAGTGTGGGCAAGGATGTAGGGGCCCCATGATCCCCTTTTACCCGGGGGCCCCATGAGTTGTCAGTCCGCCCCTGGCCACCACACCATGTGACATGAAGATTAAACAAGGATAGGTGTTGGCTTCCAACTCTGAAGCAAAGTATCAACAAGTGGAGGTTTCTTCCTTGAAGACAACCTGTTACATTACCTTCAAGGAGCAAAATCATAAAGTCTCTTTATACCCCCTTGGAGACACCAGTTTTTTTGACTATTAGTTGGTGTCTCCACCCCCCTTCCCCTTCCTAAATGAAGGCGTACATTTTTTGCCGTTACCAATGATTTATTCTACATTACGAAGGTTTAACTCCAGGGCATCATTTGGCTTTGTGATGGCCCTGGCAGTTGGGTAAAACTTGTCCAGGCATCTCCAAAAGCAGCTAAATCAGCTTGCCAGCAGATACGAATTTTGGGTGGTGTGGTCCTTTAAGCATTCAGGAAACAAAAAAGTAATTCTCTGTTATATTTGATGGATTTGATAATTAAAAAAAAAAAAACAATGAAAAAGGAAAAATGAACAGATGGAGGAGACGAGGCAGTCAGGATGAGTGAATGATGTCACCAGCAGCCGAGGAGAATTCCTCTGGTGTCCATCAAGCAGATTAAAGTGAGTCAGACAGCGGTGCAGGTTGGCGGAGCCAGGCTGCAGCTCGGCTAGTGATATATGAACAGAGGGCTCTGCAAGGTACTGGATATGTACAATGTAACACGGCACGATGCAGAGCACTGTAGCCATAGTGACACAGAGAACGAAGGAGGGACAAAGAGAGATCCAGAAAGAAGAAAAAGACACCGAACGAGGAAACAAAAATATCACTAAAATGGATGAAAAGGATGGACTAGAGTGACCGACTAAATACATCAAAAGATAAAGAGCAATAAAGATGGTGGAGTCACAATGCCAGGAAAAATATGACAAATGTGGTAGGAGAGGAGAAAGTATTAAAGTGAAGGTGTAACAAAAATAGAAGATAGAGACTAATACATAGAGAGAAGGAAGGCAGATGAGTGAGAAAAGAAGATCAGAGAAAGAGGGGGGGAGAGAAAAAATGATGAGGGGGGGGGGGGGGGGGGAGAGAAAAAATGAGAGGGGGGGGAGAGAGAAAGAAAATGAGAGGGGGGGGGGGAGATAGAGAATGCAGTAGAAAAATGTGAGGGAACGAATGAATATGAATGAGGGAGAGAATGAATGAGATTGATTGGGGGGGGGGGGGGGGGAGAATATACATGAGAGATAATGAAATATAAAAATGAGGGGGGGGGAGAGAAAATGAGAGGGGGGGGAAGAGGAGAGAGAATGCAATAGAAAAATGTGAGGAACGAATGAATATGAATGAGGGAAAGAATGAATATGAATGAGGGAAAGAATGAATATGAATGAGGGAGAGAATGAATGAGATTGGGGGGGGGGGGGAATACATGAGAGAGAGAAGCGCGGCGGGGGAGAGAGAGGGAGAGAGCGAGCGAGAGGGAGGGGGGGGAGAGAGAGGAGCGCGAGGGGGGAACGGGGGGGGAGAGAGGGAGGGAGAGAGGGGAGGGGGGGAACGGGGGTCGAGGAGGGGGGAGGAGAGCGCGCGAGGGGGAAACGGGGGAGGGAGAGAGGGGGGGAGGAGAGCGCAGGGGGGAAGGGGGGGGAGAGGGGGGAGAGAGCGGGGAGGGGGGAACGGGGGAGAGAGAGGGAGAGAGAGTGACGAGAGGAGCGGAGGGGGGGGGAGAGAGGGGGGGGAGCGCGCGTGCGAGGGGGAGGAGGAGGGGGAGGGAGGGAAGGAGAGCACGGGGGGAGGAACGGGGGGAGAGGACAGAGAGGGGGAAGAGGGAAAGGGGAAGAGGGAGGTGTTGCGCAGGGGGGAACGGTGGGGAGAGGGAGGAAGGAGGGGAGAGCGGGGGAGGAGAGGAGAGCAGGGGGGGGGGGGGAGAGAGGGAGGGAGGGGGGAACGGGGGAGAGAGGGCGCAGGGGGGAACGGGGAGAGAGGGGAGGGAGGAGGGGGAGGGAACGGGGAGGGGGGAGCGGGGGGAGAGGGAGAGAGAGGAGCGCGGGGGGGAACGGGGGGAGAGAGGCGAGGGGGAGAGCGAGACGGGGGGGGAGGGGGAGAGAGGGGGAGGCGGGGGAACGGGGGAGAGAGGGGGGCGAGAGCAGGGGGGGAGGAGGGGAGGGGGGAACGGGGGGAAGGGGCAGGGGGGGGGGGGAGAGAGATGAGGGAGCGCGCAGGGGGGAAGGGGGAGAGGGTAGAGCGCGCGGGGGGGCGTGGGGGGAGGGGAGAGGGAGCGCGCGCAGGGGGGAAGGGGGGGGGAGGGAGGGGGGGGAACGGGGGAGGGGGGAGGGGAGCGGGGGGGGGAAGGGGGGGGACGCGGCAGGAACGGGGGGGGAGGGGGGAAGGAGGGAGGAGGAGGGAGAAGAGGGAAAACGAGGGGCGAGAGGGTACAAGAGAGGGGGGAGAAAGAGGAAGGAGAGGAGGAGAGAAGGGGGAGGGTGAGGGCTGTGGGCGGAGAGGGGCGAGGAGAGGAGGGGGGGGAGGGGAGAGAGGGGGGAGAGGGAGGGGGGAGAGGAGAGGGAGGGGGCGAGAGAGAGGGAGGGGGGGGGAGGAGGGGGGGGGGGGGGAGAGAGGGAGGGGGGAGAGAGGGGGGGGGGGCGAGGGAGAGGGGGGGGGGGGGGGGGAGGCGGGGGGGGCGGCGGGGGGGGCGGGGGGGGGAGGGAGGCCGCGAGAAGGGGGGGGGAGGAGAGGAGGAGAGGGGCGAGGGGAGGGGCGAGAGGGAGGGAGCGGAGGAGAGCGAGAGAGGCGAGAAGCGGGAGAGGAGGGAGGGAATGAGCGAGGAAAGGAGAGCGGAGGGGAGGGAAAGAGCGAGGAGGAGGAGGAAAGGTGGGAGGAATGAGGAGGCGAGAGAGGGAAGAAAGAATGAGAGGGGCGCGAGGTTTTGAAGAAGAAGCGCGCGGAATTGAAAGAGCGCGGGGCGAATGAAAGAGCGCGCGAGAATGAAAGAGCGCGCGAGGGAAAGAATGAGAAGAGATGGTTCAAGAGCGGGCGAGAATGAAAGAGCGCGCGAGAATGAAGAGGCGCGAGAATGAAAGAGCAGCACGAGAATGAAAGAGGCGCAAAAAACAAGCGCAACAAAGCGGAACGGGGAGAATAGGGGGGAATGAGAGTGAGCGCGACAAAGAGAGGGTGTTCAAAGAAAGAGCGAGAAAAATTAGAGCGTGGAAAAAAGAGCGCGAGAGAGAGAAAGAATGGAAATAGGGAGTACATAGGAGGAAAGAAGAGGGAGCGAGAATTGGACAGGGTTAAGAGGGAGGGGAAAAAAGAGAAAAAGGGGATAAAAAAAAGAAAGAGGGACAGAGTATGAGAGATCGCGAGAGGAGAGAGGGAGAGAAAAAAGGAGAATGAGAGAGAGGGGCGAGAGAGAGAGGAAAAGAAAGAAAAGAACAAAGAGAGAGAAAGAAAACAGGAGAGGGGGATAGATAGGGAGAGAAAAATGGAGGGAGGAAGAAAATTAGATGGACAAGGAGAACAAGGAAAGTGGAAGAGGAAAAGGTCAAAAGGAAGAAGGGAAAAAGAAAGCAAAGAGAGAAAGAAAAAAATATAGCACAACAAAAAGCTTAAAAGTAAGGGGGGGGGGGGCGAGTGAGAAGGGGGGGACAAAGACAAGGAAGAGGAGACAGAGGGAGCAAGCGAGTGCCGGGGGGGGGGGGGGGGGGTTGAGAAAAAAAGGGACACACACAGAGGGAAAAAAAAGACGACATAGGAGTTAAAGAGAAAAATGAAAGCAGGAGGAGCATGTGTAAGCGATAGGAATATGAAGGGTAGAGAGTTAGACATACAGGGATGAAATACATTCTATGGAGTTTTATTGCACACCATACTGGTGTTGGATGTCATGTGAGGCGGCTGCCAGCACATGGAAGATCACAGATGAAGGATATATCACTAGTTCATGTTAATCTTCACTAACAGCATTGTCCTTGTTGAGGAAAGTGAGAAAATATATACACAAACAAGGGAAAATGGATAGAGAAAAGGAGTTCAATAGAGAATGGAAGGGGTAGTATGGGAGAACATGGAGAGGTAGGAAGCTATGTAAAGATGACAAAGAGCTGTGAAAGTAAATCCAATGCAGCCATGTTTCAGGTATTC